GTGAAATTTATATTTATTCCATAATATCGTGCCTTCGCCGGGAATTATTATATTTTAATTCCCCGGCCAAGGTCACAATATATATATATATATATATGGCACATTCTCCCAGTTATCGTAAAATTCCGATCATTTGTTCTATACATCAAAGGATGTTCAACCCTACATTTTTACTTCAATATCTTTATTACAGACCAACAAAACTCATGTTGAAATTTTTATCTTTTTTTATTTCAATTAATTTCCATGGCTACATTTTTCATTCCATCGAGAAAAGTGATAAATGATTTTTCCTCAGAAATTCCATAATATTGCTGAAAAAAAAATTCTTTTCTCATTTACGCGTATTTTAACCTTGAAAAATTTGAATTTCAGAAAATTTTCGCGGTTTTCCACGCGTCCACCCTCTCGATTAATATTATTTGTGACTAATTTGAAAGTATATCTATACTTTATCAAAAGCGAACGGAAATTTTTTTTACGTACCTCCCTCATCGATTCTGCTCTTGAGCGCACTTCTTCGGAAATTATTAATTTCCTCGGATTCTTCTTCCTAGTGGCGGGAACCTGAAATTTGGATTTGTATTTAATAATCGTAATAAAGATCATTCGCGTGGTTCAATAGTAAATATAGAAAAAACCAAAACGAACGGGCCGGAGTAGTGAGCATGAGACAGCGAGTACGTGTGGCTTGCAGTAAACAGTAAATTCACAGATAATTTGTAGTAGTTACATTTGATTTTTTTTATTTCCCTTCTCAGTTAAGCGTATTTTAAACTTGAAACTTGGAATTTTACCAAATTTTCGCGGTTTTTTACTGGTTTACCCTCTCGATTAATTTTATTTGTTACTAATCTAAAAGTACATCTTTTTTTGACTATCTGCACAAATTTTCAACTTGGGACTCTCAAAACTAACTGAGTAAACATATGAAAATAGTGTTTTTGAACCGTCTGTTTTTTTAAATTTATACGAAATTTCTTCGTGCATCTATATCGCCATGACTCCCCCTTCAACTTACTTAAAAACGTCAACCAAATCGTTAGCAAAATAGAAACCACAATGGTCGATATTGCCTATCAATTATACCACTACAATTCTTTTTTTTCTGTTTTTATACTATTACTCAGCTCTTTTTGAGAGTCCCAAGTTGAAAATTTGTAGAGATAGTCAAAAAAATATATACTTTCGGATAAAATACGTTGAAAATACGTATAAAATACGCTAAAATGAGGAGGAAAATTTTTTATCTGAAATATTATAGAATTTCCGATAAAAAATAATACGTTACGTTTTTCTATAGAATGAAAAATGTAAACGATAAATTTGGAATCAGTGATCCGAAAAACGTGACATTCATTGATCAAACGTTGATGAGTCAATTTCATACATAGGAAACTTTTGAATCGGATTCAAGTTTTTTTTTTTTCAATATAGCAACCGGACATACCTCTTTTTCATTTTCCTCCAAACCCTCTCCATTGGGGATTTTCCTGTTCTTCAGACGTTGCTGCTCTTGTTTCTGCTGCAACTGATAAATTCACAAATAATTTGTAGTAGTTACATTGTACAAAGTGTATTTTCAAGAAGAAAAATGGATAAGAGGGCATTGTTTTTTCAAAATAAATAACTAGTGAACAATATGCTTCTGAATAGTCATTTTGCATAATTTCAGCTCATTGTTGTAAAGAATCGTTAATATCGCTAGAAATTTTACAGCAATCTTATTTTGAATGATGATATCACGAAATGCTTGATTTTATTTTCTTATTTATCATTTGTCATATTTTCTTTCATTCCGATGATTGACGATTGGAATTTTTTACAACCGTGGGAAATCAATGAGCTTTCTAGTTGTATGATAATAATTCTTAGAATTTGTTTATGACCCAAATGGAGGAATCCAGCTATGTAATAGTGAAACTTCATAACAGTTTCATAGAAAATTTGTGTGCACGCATAGTTCTATGATTTGGAAATTATATTTTGCCTATCTTTCAGAAAAGTCACTTTCAGGACAATTTAGGGAAAAATTTGGAATTTGTAAAAGTCATTATAAACATAATATTAACAGATCTATATATGATAATTGTCGTTCAACTTCAATGATGCACTAAGTTCTAATTAGAGCATAATATCCCAACATATTCTCTATATTCCAATATTTTTTTCATAAAAATAAAAGTTTGCAAAAAATGCTCATTGCTGTCGCTTCCACCTTCGAACTTAGTTTCAAGGACATCGAGACTAAATATTAGAGCCATCATCGAATGAATTCAGAATTTTTGAACATATTACATATTAGACTGACCCTTAACAATGCTCTCGGCGAATATTGAAGCTTTCACCCCCCCCCCCCCCCAGATGAGTCTCAAATAATTGAAAAAAAATATGTGCAAAATCTCAGCTCTTAATCTCAAGTACAAACCGTGCCTCTGAACATCAAAATTTCTTCATTCAAAAAGAATTGCAATTCCAATATTTTCACTAATTATTTTTTTCCGAGCTTGAGAATGGGTTTAAAAATATGAAATCTGTAAGAATTTGATGGAGGTTGAGAAAATCTCTCCATTTTCGGGCCTTAATTCTGCATTTTGATGGTAAGGAATGACGAAGTAATCCTTTTGATTTTGTCAATTTTGTGGTTATTTCGATAAAAAATAATGTTTTTCCAATTATCTCGATAATGAATCATTCTACGGGAAAATATCATACTGAATGTTTAGTTGAGGACGTTGTTTTTTTGGTGGTCGGCCGTCGGAAAATTGGAAATGGTGTGTCGGGATAAGGGTGATCAAGTGGAACAAAAACCGAGGTGTAAAACACTGCGTTTTAATATTCACTTGTCGAGATTATGTACAAAATATATACAGAGTCGTTGAGTAATCTTTGAGTTGATTAAGCGAGTTGAGCTACGTTAATTTAGACTATTAATTAATCGTTGATTAACAAAGAGAAGTTGCGCGTCGGTTAAGATCAATCGCGGTGTAACGTTAAGAGGCGTGAATGTACACGAAAAGTTGAGATACTTATTAGGCGACGTTGACTGTACGAATGAATTAGAGGGGGGTCCCAAGGTGGTTGCTGACCCTCGGGTTACCGATCCGATGAACCCCGGAAGTGTCCGAAATCCGTCGATTAATTGTCGTTGAGTTGGGGGGCCTTTTTTCATGTCTACTTTAAACAACACTTTTTTGTAGGAAATCTTTTCAGCTACTAAAAAGGTTATATCATATTTCATCGTAAAATCACTTATTGCTGAGATAGGGTCACCCTAATACACATACGGAGAAGGCTCAAAAATTGAATTTTTCAAAACTTGAATTTGAACGATTATGATGCTCCCATCAGATAAAATAAAAAATATAGAATGACTTACAGAGCGATACTTCCGCATGACATTCTCAGTTTCCGAGAGATAGGAATCATCAGAATCTTGATCCTCCCGAGGCAACGTTTCAATTTCCATAAGCGACGGAGATGGGATGAAATCATAAATACTCCGTTTCTCCTCTACTGCATTTGAGTTTGATAAGGGTGAGTTGTGTTGAGGATTATTCAGACTATCGTTTGCAGGACTCTGTGAATCATTAATTTACAGTAAACTTAAAATAATACAATTAAGTATTTATTTTCAGAAAACTCCAAATAATATAACACTTGAGTACAGCTGAATAAATTGAGAATAGTGAAATTCTTAAAATAATTAATTCTTTGTCACGGCACATATCCTTTCCCATCATATGGAAGTCGAGTATTTTCGATAGTGCATATATGGGTGTAGCAGCTTTTGAGTGAAATTTCTTAATTCTGATTTGGTCCGTAGTACACTGGGAAAAAGGTTTGGTACCATTGACTGTATTACGGTTGGGTCTACCGAATCGGTTGGGGTACAGAAACGTAAAATCACCGAACTAGAAATGCGCGCGCATGATCACCACGAGAATTGATGTTGGCATGAAATTGGAATCATGAGATGTTAAAATTCACAGGATTCCAATTCAGTAGCCATGAAATGTAGCCAGAGTCATTATCAGATAGAATACTTAAGAAACTATTTGTTTTATTAAGCGGCCTGTTAAATGGAAAGAAAATTGATCATGTATTTCAGCTCACATTTCGAACGATGCTTTCAATAATCATAAAGCTATGAAGATTTAAAATTATTCGAGTTGAAAAAAATATGTTTCTTGATTGACGATCTGACCGTAAAATGATCTTGACCATTTTTATCATATTACAAGATATGCATGCCATGAATTACTAACTATGATTCATTTTCTGCTCAGTACATGCTGGGGAAAATCATTCCGCACCAGCTTATTTAAAATGAATTTCAATTGGTTTGTCGTTCAGAATATTAGATGTTATGAAGCAATTGAATAAATTAATGTCTTCTTTTAACCGGGATTGTATGCCAAATTTAACAAACAGCAATGTTCGGAAAATAGGGAGCATATGATCTAACAGATTTGCGTATCCATCTTAATAGTCCTTCTGATCAGATCCGATCGACGAATGCTAAGATGCGCGTTGGCCAGATCATAAAAATAGCTGACCACAAGAATGTCAGACGATAAACAGTAGATATAGTAGGTTTCTACTCAGGTCCGATGAAACCTATCTTACCGATAATGTTTTCGTTATTACCGACTGTATTAAATTTTGCATTATCAATCGTGCATAATTTAATATAGATTTCTGTTTTATCTATTATGATGTACAATTACTTCAAATTTACAACAGAATTAAAAAAGTTTGTTAAAAAATCTGTCAACAAAAAAATTTTTTTCCAGACCATCTTCTGTTACTCTTAAAATTATATCTACCCCTGTGGAAATCTGATTGGCAGATTCTGAAAACTCATATCACAAAATTGCAAATAAACTATGTCATTACTCCGTAGAAGTTGGCCGAATCAGCGACATTCTGAACAAATTTTGTTGAAATGGGCAAGCATTGAGAAAATATGCTGGAAATTTGAAACAGCTTGTCCACATGTTTTTATTTTTTATTCAACTGTTACGTCAAGAATGGGTGACTTGACGTTAACATTGATCCCTCATTTAACACGAACAATTGATTACCGAAAATTGTTGCCCAATTTAAAGGTAAAACACTGGATTCGAACTGGGGAGGAACCGGACCCCACGATAGTTTCACACGTAACCCATTTGAATCTAACTCGTTCCCTTTTTAGCCTGGTATCTTGCAACCAAGGGCACGGATGGGAATAATGCTGAAAGAAGAGGCTCTGGGTATGTGAAATAACTGAAGGTTGTTATTAAAATTTAACTGACTCTTTCCAGTCTATATTTCTAAAACAAAGGAAAGAGAATACAAAAAAAATAAGGAAACAATTACAACTCACGTGATTAATGAGTTGATTCCGTTTTTAAATCCTTATCTTAAATGGACTTTGTCGCACCCCAAAAGGAAGATGAATTGTCTTAATTCACTTGACACAAAAAAAAATTAACACTACTCTAAGTATTAAACTTTACAAACAAAAAAAATTACAGTAGAACTAAACTAAACCATAAAAAGGTTTATTAGTAATTAAAGGAAATAGGTCACGAAAGTATCTATAGAATCAATCAGTCTTGAAAGCTGATTAATTATAAAGAAATAGAGTTGTAACTCTATTATAATAGTTGCCTTGGAGATAGGCTAACTTGAAAGTTTCAAATTTGAGTGGGAACTGACTCGATTCTTGTGGTGGAAGCATTTTTAAAAGTTTGCTCGGAGGGTTGGCCTCAGGAAAAAGAAAGAAAGAAAATCAGTCTTGACCTCCAGTTTCCATCCTCTACTTAAAAAGGTCTGAATGTTTCAGGCTTAAACTCCATCCCTTCCACATTAAGATTTGCTTAAAATATTGAGGCGTGGGCGGATTTTCCTCTCGCCAACTACCAATGAGAATTGTTTCAGGAGTCCCATGTTCCCCTCCACAAACTCTATTTAATTTATTCATTACGGAAATTCCTAATTATGATTATTGGGTGTCGTCT